CCACCAGCCACTCCACAAAAGGAAGATGGGGCAATCTACTTCCATAAAGATTAACAGCCTTGGAAATTCAATGGGGATCGCTATGAGTCAGAACCTACTCAATGGCAGGGAGTTTGGTTGGTTGGTTTGCATACAGGATGTTTTCCACAGTCTGTAATGCAATTGAGGATAAGCTTTGGCTGAAACTCCATGCTTTGCACCTAAAACCAAAAAACAAACTCACTGCCATCAAGTCGGTTCCACTCATAGCAACCCACTGGGTTTCCAAGGTGGTAAATCTTTACAGAAGTAGATTGCCCCATGGTCCGTCCGCAGAGCAGCTGGTGGGTTTGAACTGCCCAACTTCTGGTTAGCAGTCAAATGCTTTGAGCACTGCGCCACCAGAGTGGTCTTACTTTGCATCCAGAGTCTTATTATTGTTAAGTGTCTTTGACTCTATTTCAAATCTTAGCGACCCCATGTGACCGAGTGGAAATCCCCCTAGGGTTTTCTAGGTTGTAATCTATACCGATTCGTGAGGTTTCACTGGATGTTTTTGTTTTCAGAAATAGATTACCAGGTGGTCCTTTTTCCTAGTCTGCCTTAGTCTGGAAGCTCCAATGAAACCTGTCCACCATGGGTGACCCTCTTGGTGTTCAAAATACCAGTGGCATAGCTTCCAGCAAGCCCATGGCCTCTTCTGAACCCAGTATTTCTAGAAGTTCCCTGTCAGCAACTGTTTTCTGAATTCTCTTTACTTGCATGTAATATCAATGATATTGTTTGATAATTTCCACAGTCCTAGCTTCTAGCCAGGAGCTCTGGTAGCATAGTGCCTAAGGCACTTAACTGCTAACCAGAAGGCTGGCGGTTCAAACCTGCCACTCCTTGGAAGGAAGATGGGGCAATCTACTTCCGTAGTGATACCGCCTCGGAAACCCAAGGAGGGGTCGCTATGAGTCGGATCCGACTCCAAGGTACATAACAACAACAACATGAGTCAGAACTGACTCCATGGCACCTGACAACAACAAACTCTATCAAAGCAGATCATCAAGGGATTTTTTTCCTTTGGAGACACTGGGTGGGTTCAAACCACTAATCTTTCAGTTAGCAGCCAGGCCCTTTAACCATCTGCACCACTGTTGTTGTTGTTGTT